CTGGTGGTCCCTCTGCGAATCAATCTTCTCCAAGTCTTTTTGGTTGGGGTCATACTTCCTCTATTTGGGTGGACAAAGGGCTAGATAATCGAGCTTTAGCTTCTGCTAGTGATGCCAATTGAGGTCGGGATTCATATGCTTCTTAGGGGAAATTTTGAGTAAGTGGCTCAAGTTATATGATTCTTATCCCATATAACTCACTACTAATGGCTCTGGTACTTCACCCACTCTAGATAAGTTTCATGATGTCCTTCGATCTCCAATATCCAATACTTTTCAAGAGGTGCGGGCTTGTGTGCCTGATCAGGTCCTTGGTTTCCTCTAAAATCTTCATGATGTTGAGAAGATGGAGCTGACTTTGGAGGTCGCCTTTCATATGTTTCATAGCCCCTCTTAGATATCTATGTCATATGAGGGATTGAGGGCATGTCTTCACCACAGGTGTTCCAACTAAGGAGATAGATATATGAAAGGGGAAATATGACATGGCTTCCCATGACCAATTGATACTAGACAAAAAACCAACCAACCTCCAGGAAGAGATGATTATGTTATCTAGCCTTCAAAAATAGGTTAGTACACACGACTCACCCACCGTTATTGGTTGCCCAAGTTTTCGATCCGCAAACATGTTTAGAGGCCAAAGATAAGGCCATTTAGGAAGCGAAAAATTCTTCGGCAGTGTTGACCTCTTAATTGATTGTGGTTGAAGATGCCTTGAAGAGGAAGAAAGACTCTCGTGCTAGGGAGCGGGATATTTATACCTAAAAAGTTAAGGGTGATGTAAAAGAAAGTCAATGAAGCTATTAATGAGGTTCTTAAGACTTTCTTTGGTGATTTTAAAAATGCAATGTATCAGATGAAGTTATTGTATCCAGGTACCTTGGTTCCTCAGTTGAAGCTAGACCTAGAGAAAATGTTCAAGGATTGAGAAATTGTATAAGACAACAAAGGCCCTAAGGAGGGTCTTGGTGTATAATATTTTATCTTAAAATGATGTGCGCGCTGTCGAGTTACTCAAATGATTTAATCTACTTGAAATTTTTTATATTTCTATTGAACCGTTCACCCTTGGATTTAACATTTTATAGGTTGGATTTTTCCTATGGTTCCTCGTTGTTAGGAATAGGGGTAACTTTGCTACATTTTGGTTTAGTCGTCCTACTTCATTAGGAATTAGCATAACCTCTAAGTATTTCATCATTACATGTCCTACCTATTAGGAACCCACGTAATTCTTACCTATCCCATTTGTCAAGAGATGGTGTAAGCCTTACCCATCCTTTTATTTTGGAACTGATGTAATTCTCCAGCATCATCGGGGACCCTCCTCAACCAATAATGGGGTCCCCTTCCCTACCCCCAAATTTGATTCTACTTTAAGGTTGATGTCACTAGGCTCCACATCCCATGCCCTTGGAGTGACTTGATCCTAAAGGGGTGAGAGGGGATGAAGAGTGCAAGAGTTGTACCTTAATGCACATTATTCCTTTTACCCTAATTTTCAAATAAATGGAGCAATTCACACTATTTTAAAAGAGATTGTAATGTTATTCATATTAGAATGTGATAAAAAAATAATTCAAAATCGAAATGCCTTCCCTAAAGACTTATCATGGATATCGTTCGCACCCTTTAGTTTGGGGTAGATTACTAGCCTATTGTTTCTAAGAATAGGGCTAAGGTGGATGGTAATCTACTTTAAGGTCGTCGATACTCCTTCGATTGTTTCCGCCTTCTTTGTTAGGGTTGTGTAATTGTTATCGATCAATACTTCGCAGATGGTCCCTGAGTTGAGATGGGTGATGCTTTTAGCACCAATGTTCTAGTCGACCTCAAATTTGCACCACTATTGCTACGATTTATGTTTGAATTATTGTGTTGGACTTGTGATGTGGTGTTGGAAGTCTCCAATGTTGTGGATACACGATGGACATGCAAGATTAATATTCTAACGCACAAGTAAGTTAATGATCCAAAAACGAATAGAGTAGACTATGAAAGTATGTGTGTATCATAGATTTTACGCATGTAGAATTATTTATGTCCTTTAATCGAACTTATTATTGTTAAACTTTCTTTAGAGTAAAAAATAGTCTCCTTTTATTAGGTATTTAATAGGTGAATTAATTTAATTAATAAGATATTCATGATTATTCGACACACATAATTAAAAAGAAAATTATATATATATATATATATATATATATATATATATATATATATATATATATATATATATATATATATATATATATATATATATATATATATATATATATATATATATATATATATATATATATATATATATATATATATATATATATATATATATATATATATATATATATATATATATATATATATATATATATATATATATTATTTTTGTAATTATAAAATAATTATAAATTATTTTTATTTTCATGCACTTTTTAATAACATTCAATTCATGCATTACTTATTTATTTTACACTCATATGATTATAAAAGATAAAATTAAATCAGAGGTATTTTAAGTTATTTTTTTAATATGTTGGTTTTTTAAGTTTTTTTTAATAAGTTAGTCCTTTAAAGTGATTTTTGTATCATTTTTTTTTTACATTTTTACATTTAAAAATTTGTGATTGTTATATTTTTTATTGTATTTTATTATTTTTATTTCGTTTAAAATAATTACATTCACAATTATCATTTTTATTCTATTAAAAAAAATAACATTGTACATATTTGATAACTTAAAAAAACAAATAGTTATGAACCAAATAGTTAAATATATTATATTTTATGATCAAATAAAAAAAATTCATATTTCAAAATATGTATTTTTATTTCTTTTTTAATCTATAAATTTTCCTTCATAATTCTATTATGTTTTTTTAATTAAAATTATCAATATTTTTAAATGTAATTTATATGTGCATTGCACTAGTAAATATCTCATAAACAAAAAAAAAAGTGATAATAAATGATATCTTTAGTTAATAGTATATTTTAAAGAGTTTGAGATGGAATTAAATGTTAAACAATGGGTGAAGTATATTATTAAAGTACTTTTATTGAATGAGTGAGGGTTTAACATGACAAAACTATGCTTATTTAATTGGTGTACAGGACAAAGAAAAAGCACTAGTTGATAGGTAGGACAATGGAGTGACAAAAAGTAAAGAAATGAAAAAGAAAAATCACTTGCATCAAGGTTTGAAATTGGTAAGAAACAGAGTTACAGAAATAACAGATGAGGTTTTGTGATGTCCATTTTTGTGCCTTTTGATCGTGTAGGGCCGACAACAAGGACGCATTCAGCCGTCTATACCAACAACTCCCTTCTGTTAAAGCCTGTTATCTCTGTCCCCTTTACCTTTCTATTTTCTATATCTTTCTTTCTTCAATTTATCACTAACTAAATATAGAACAACTTTGTTGAGGTATTGATTAAATTAATATTGTTAGTACAAACATAAATTAATAAATTGTTAAAATTATGAGTTGATTTTTCATGGATAAAACAAATTTATTTAAATTCTTTATGTTAACAATTTTGATGTACAAATTATTTTTTAATAAAAGTTATACTAAAAAAACTCAGATTTTAAAATAATATTAGAATTGATAGTTAAATCAATCAATTGAATTGAATTAAGCAATAGTAAAACATCATCTAAATCAAACTAAATTATTGAAATTGATTAGAATTGAATCAAATTAAAATAATTGATTTGATATATCAATTTGAAATGTCAAACAATTAAGAGATAATTTAAATTTAAACAAACGATTTTCTTCGTTCCAAAATATTACAGAAAAAATATATATACTTTTTTAAAATATAAAAGAAAAAAATCACTTTCATCTTTTTTAAAATAAAATTAAATGCAAAATGTATTTTACTTACATTCTCTCTCATTTTTTCTATAATCAACAACTAATTAAAATTACTTTTACATCTTCCTAAACACTTTATTTCAAGAAAATTACAAATCAAATAATTATGTTTTTACTTTTCTTAATAAGAATGTGTTTTTATTTTTTTCTCTTATATTTTGAGAAGATTTATTAAAAAATTAAATCATCATATTTTTTTATTTAATTACTTTGTTCTAAAAAGTTTAAATTAAAATTTAATATTTTTTATTTTCATTATCGATTATTTTCAACTTGATATATTTATTCTAAAACATAATAATAGAGATGATAAAATGAATCCGATCCATTAAACATATTCATTTTACTTGTATTTTCTTTTGTACAAATCAAAATTTTAACAAGTTCCATTTAAAATGATAATTTTAAATTCGTGGGACCGATCAAAAGTGTTTGACCCCATCTTTAATTATTCTTCTCTATTTTTTTTTTTTTTTGTGTTTTTGTGAAACTTACCTTAAAAATATCAATATTAATAAACTTCGATTCGGTTCGGTTAAATATGTTTTTATTAGTGTTAGTTATAACCTCAAATTTTAAGTGTTGCATTGAATTACATCTACTCAAATTTAAAAGACAGATTAGAACCTCCTTATATGTAATTATTAAAACATCCCTTTTCCTAACATAATCATCTTGTCCAAGTAGAACTGCATGTCTCGTGCTTAACCAAATAAACATCATCCATTATTACATACTCCCTAAAATTGATAAATAAAAAAAGTTTCTCACATATAATCCTCTCCTTGTCTCTCTCACACATATATGAGCTATAGAGTGTGACCAACTTTATGTACTTTTTATACATCATCATGTTATTATATTATGGAATAGAGAAAAATAAAACATAGCACACCCCATGATTTTAAGAGAATAAAAAAAAAAACACAATCCATGATCCACTCACATATAACCTTAAGATATGATATATTCTCTTATTCTCTTATTCTCTTTGATCCTATAAACAAAACCTCACTATAAATATCACCTCTCACCTCAACCATTTCTCACACATTCTTCTCATTCTCATCACTCATCAACCTCATACATTCTTTCTATTTTCATCTCCAAAAATGCATTACCAAACAGAATCATGGGGAACCTATAACATGAACCCAACAACAATGATGGGTGACCCATTAGAGCGAATAGAAAGACTAGCCTCAGAAAATGCTGTTGTGATATTCAGCATAAGCACATGCTGCATGTGCCATGCAATCAAGAGATTGTTCTGTGGAATGGGTGTGAATCCAGCTGTTCATGAACTCGATGAAGATCCAAGAGGCAAAGAACTTGAAAGGGCACTCATGAGACTACTTGGTACCTCAAATGTTGTTCCTGTTGTCTTCATCGGTGGTAAACTTATTGGTACTATGGATAGAGTCATGGGTTGTCATATTAATGGCTCTCTTGTTCCTCTTCTCAAACAAGCTGGTGCTCTTTGGCTTTGAAAAATGAAACTCTTCATTTTTATACTACTAGTGCTATTTTATCAAAAGTAAACAAGGATGAGGAAGAGGATCAAGTAGGTTTTTTATGAGACTCTTCAAATTCTATTTTGGATTTTTTTTTAGTTAATTAAACAACCTTAGTACTTTTGAGTCTTGTTGTGTTCTTATAGTTTAGTTTTTTTTTTCTTGGTTGGAATTTGGGTTTGTCATGGTTTACTTGTTTTCTTTAAGGTTTTCTTCCTATGTAAAGACAAAAAGCATATTGGAAGAACAAAAAATGAGCTAATTTTACTAATTTATTTCTGTCAATGTTCTTCTATATGATATCATCAAGGTTTTAAATAAAATCGTTGTCGCCTTATTATTGCATAACAACTTTTGTGATTCGATCAAAAATATAATCGTCTAATTATAAATGACTATAATTTGATTTTTTTAAGTAAAATTGATAAATAATGATATGAATATTGATAGGCCTCAATACCGTTTAGTCACGACCACTCCAATGTATTGCTTGAATTTGGACTTATGATATTAATCTTAGTGACAAATAATATTTTGAGTGGATTTGGAACATGAAAATTGAATTTGTGGACGGTGGTTGAGACGGTGTCGTGTTTGTCAAAATTGTCGCTTTCGATGTCTTGTACTTCTTTCTTGCTCCCTTTAACGTGTTCAGCCTAGACATAAAGTGACGTCAATGCCCTTTTACTTTGACCACTTTATGTTCTTTATTTATGTTTTATTTGTAAAAAAATTACTGTGTTTGCATTTTTTATGTACTGAAAAAGTTTACATTTAAATCGTAGAAAAAACAATAGAAAAGTTCCAATGTAGTTAGAGAAGCTAATGAGAATATTAATGGAGAAGACATGATTATATATAGTTTATAATTTAGACGGAGATAAACAAAAATCTATAAAACAACATCGTGACGATTATTCAAGTGATACGAATGTAGTAATTATTTAATCTCAACGGTATTTAAATATGTAATTTGAAGTTGTTTTTTTTTTCTTCGCACTTTGGTTTCGAGAGAAAATGGATTCTAATAATGAATCTGATACTCTTTGGATTATGTCTTTAACGGGAATTCTTTTATTACTGGAGTCTAAACTATTTAGTTAATTTGAAGTTGATTTTTAAATCATCATAAACTGTATCATATATAATGTTTTAAAAATTGAATCGAACATCTCAATTCAATCGGTTGGTCTAAAAATTGGAGGTGACTCCGGTTCAACCAACTTTATAAAATTGCAGGTGAATTAAAACCAGAATAAAATAAAATAAAAACTGAATTGAACCTCTCAAAATCGTTTGAACCAAAGAATCGGAGTCGATTTTGTAAAACTGTCTGATTTAAATAAATGCTTATTATTGGTCAATTTTAATAATTTTTAATAATTTTTTTTAAAATAAATATTATATTAACAGTAATACTTAAAACATTTTCTATTCAAAAAAAAAAAAAAAACTCTTCTTTAACACATAATAGCAACACAAATTTCTAAATTATAATACTATATTATAGTTTTGTTTCTTTAAGCGTACAATTATAATATTAAGTTTGTTATTAAATTTTAATATTTATTTTATTAATTGTGAACATATGATCACGTGACTTATTCATAAAATGTAATATTATTTTGTTAATTTATTTAATAAACGGTTCGACCGTAGGTTTAATCGGTTGAACCAAATAATCCTTGAATCGAAAGTCTTGTCAGTTCAACTTTTGATCTGATTTTTAAAATATTGATCATATATTAAAACAAAACCTCTTATATGATTGCTAAAACTTAACAAAGACTTTTTTTAAGGTTTAAAAATATATCTCAATCTCTTTCTTAAAGCATCTCGTTTATACACTTCTCATGGTTGAGAAAGAGATTGTGTATATTTCAATCAAACATTTTATCTCTACAAATTTCATATTTGAGGGACTGTATATATTCTATTTCACTTAAAAGAATTCATATTGGACTTGAACTAGGACGTAATAGTACCTCCCCTGCCCAGGAGGTCCATTCATATGAAAAGATTAGGACAAATCACTCTTAATAAGCAAAGGTCGTCCCATAATCAAATACAACTCACTACTTATAATTATTTGTTTTACGTATAAACAGAACATTTTGAGTTATTAAATAACCTTAAAAGGTTAATCTCAGACATTTTACGCTAGTTAGATGCATATTTGGTTTCATACAAATTGAGAACTTGTGCAATATTAAGACAATCCTGAGGGGTTTTGAGTAGTCTTATAAAGATTAATATGGACCTTGTATTTTTGGATTCTTCAGGTGATTTACTTAACTGTGTAGAATTAAAACTCTCGTTTAAGTACATAGAATTTCCTGTGTGGAGGGGAGGGGGAATCTTCGACTTGGAACCTTTAAGTTTGTTGATAAGAGGCTCCACTACTGAAAGCACATCTATGTTAGTTTGGGGGGTCGAGTGGTTTTACTTAATTTTATGTTTAATGCTATCTTTCCATCTTCTTTTTTTGTCTTTTTTTAAGATGCATATCAAGGTTTGAAAGAAGGTAGTAAGAATTTAAAGAAGGTTTCTTTGGAGAGGAGTGACAAGAGATGCTAAGATATCCTAGATTAAGTGAGATAATGTTCGTAAACCAAAGAGTAAAAGGGGTTGATTTAGCATGCTTGGTTAAATGGAGATGGAGATTGATTACATGTGATTTTGGTCATTGGTAGGATATTATTGTAGGTAGTTATGTTGTTTTTTTCTTTAAGAGGGTAGTTCTATGTGATGTGTAGGTTAAAGTTTTTTTTAAAGATTTTGATTATGACAAATGAATAAGGAAGAATAAATCAAAATCATCACCAGTCAAGAAGCAATTCCAATACAAAGTGTTCAAGTTCACATTGAAAGAGTTAAACAAAGTTTAATCAAGTAATCGAAAGGAATTGAAATTGTGAAGTTGCGATCAGCCGCCTTATTCTGTACTTAATTTTTAAGCTTGTATTTGATTAGTTGAATATAATTTAAGAAAGAGTATATGTTGTACCCCAAAATTTGCTCTCTCATTTCAAAAGACTTTCTCATGCTCCTAAGGTTATCAAGTGTTCAAAACTACTCAAGAATGATCAAATGAGTCCTCCTTTTAAGCAATTGCCTACGACTAGGGTTTTGGTATTCTCAAGGAAAATTGGACTTCTAATGCCTCAAGTGGACTTCATGGTTTCTCATATGCTTCAAAGAATCCTGATGCCAAGTTTCAAGCCTTGCAGTAAAAGTTTGCTCAGCCAATTGCTCAGATGATTGAAAATCAACTATGTTAGGTAAAAAAGTCAACTATGGTCAACATACAGTCAAACCTCAAGATTTTTGGTCAACATCAAGATTTTTAAGTCAAATTCATCATTTGATCAAAGGTTGATCATGAATCATCAAGAAGACTCAAGATTCATCAAAAGTCTAAAGTTGCTAAATTATAGTTTTCTTTAGGAGAAGTCAACTGAACTTTGACCAAGCATAACTTTCACATGCCTCCTCAAAGAATTCTCAACCAAAGTTAATTTTGATGGAAATTCAATTCTCTACAACTTTGTCTCTCTAAGCTCAAGGCCAAAAAAATGCTACATTTGAGAGATATGAACTAAAACATTATAGGTCATTTTAAAAGTCAATAAAAAGACACTTTTTGTCAAAGCAATTTACATCAAGATAAAGTCTTCAAATGGAAAAATGATCGACATAGATATTGTAGGGGACATCTTGAGGTTTCTAAAAAGTCAAAGATCACCTTCATATGGTAAAAATTGAGAGAGTTATGATTGGTGCAAGTTGGGCAATTATGAGAAAATGCATGAAATCTAATTTGAGCAAACTTGAATTATTGGACAATTGGGCTTATCTTTTAGAGTCCAAACATGTTATTGACCTCATAATGGACCTCTAAATCCATTCATGCACCATGATAATTTTTATCTTATTTATTTTGATTTTTATTCATTTAAATTCAAATTAAATAAAAAAATATCAAATGGAGGTGCAAGGCTTAAAAGGCTTAAGATTTGATTTATTTTGGGGCCCCAAAACCATACAAAAACCGTGTGAAGTTATTCTTGTAGAAAATCTTGATATTTTGTCTTATTCAAATTCTATTTTTCAATAAAAATCAAAAGTTGTTTCATAAAAGGTCCAAGCCCATTCTTCTTGACCTAATCTTCATCTATATATAGCCATCATATTCAGACAATAGACACACGAAAGCCTTGCAAGAATACTCTAAATAAAACTCAAAATTTCTCAAAGTAGGGCAAACTTGAAACATTGTTTTCGGCCTTTCTCAAAGCAAGCTAGCCATCAAAATCGATTCCAGGGACATTACAAAGTCTGAACCATCGCATGAATCCCATGATGCCAGAATCATGCGTTGCCATTATTGAACCAATTTACAATATTTCCTTCGTATTTCATTATGCAGAGAGTATTAGCCAAAACTAAGACCACCATTGAATTCTCAACCCTCAAATTAGGGGGGCAAGGTCTTATTTGTTCATTAACGTACTCTGTTTTACAGGTTGTAAAAACATACTCACCGGAGAAGACGACCGAAGCTAGGGCTCCGGCCCTTCTCTGGTCCCTCTGGTTTGGTGTATTTTATATTTGTTTGATTTCATTCCACTACCGGATGTAACAGCCACCCCATTGGCAAGAGCGCATGCGTTAAGGCATTGATGTATAAGGGTGTGGGTTCGATCATGCCTTTTGCAACCTTTCTTATATTTTTCCAATTTTTGCAGGTTTTATATAATATGCAACACGCCTGTATTTCTAACACCAACCAACGCTTGGCTTGGTGGTAAGTTACACATGGAAAGTACTGAAGGGCGTGGGTTCAACACCCACCCCACACATTTTTTCTTCATATTTTGCACTAACCCTATTTTCTTCTTTTTCACTTATTTTTCTTTTCTTTTAATTAAACCCTAATTTTAATTAAACCTAATTTTAATTAACTTAATAATTTT